TTGTAGCGTTTCGTAGTGATTTTAAATTGTTCCCGCGTAATTTGTTTTAAAAATTTGTGAAATCAAGGCAAGTGGTTGCCCTTGCATGTACATGTACGATAAGCAAAGCGGTTTTCCACGTGAAGTTCGGCATTAGATTGAATGTGGTTTAACCGAACGCTGTAAGCTGATTCTTTACCCACATTTGTTAAAAAAATTGCCTTTGTTAGTTTGTTTCTTCAGGGTGATTTTGGGGTGTTCGTGTCGATATTCGGTAAGTGGGGTTCGTTCAATAAACTTAGGGTAATTGTGTGTTTAATCTTTTAGGCCGTTGTGTACAGTTATAATTATTGCCTTTAGTTTGAAAATTGGTAAATACCCACCTAATAGTCGGGGCTAAAATCTCAGAAAAGCTCTCCGTTTCAATGCAAGAAGCATTTCATGTAACAATTGAGTTAACACCGGTTCTCCCCTATTTAGACCCCGTTGAATCCGAATATGCCATTTGCCAACTCGAAATTTCAACCGGAAGTGAGATATTCAAGATGGCGTCCAAAATAGCGCCAAATTTAAGTGTTTTTTTGCTTTTGGTCATATGTGTGCGATCCAAGTGTCTATCCCTAGGTTTTTTGGGGCGTAGAACACGATTAAATACTTAAAAATAAATTTGGTTAAGAAAATCACCATTAAAAAGTCATATTTTAACAAAATTTCAACAATATTAACCAAAAAAATCATTTTTTTATCGAAATGTGTAGAAAATTATGTGCTGTGTCTGAGGGGATTTAGAGCATGTTTAAATGCTCAAAATTATTTTAAACAAGTGTTAAAGGACTTTTATTTTCTGAATTCAATTGACATTAATACTCGTCATTCATCGTCATCGTCACCTGCCCCATTCAAGCACTTTGCTCTGCACTTACACAGTTTTGTGCAAGGGACCCAGGGCTCCTTCCTACACCCACACTGCTTTGTGTTACACAGTCCTTTGCAGCCACAAACACTAAACTCCGGGCATGACTTTGGGATAGATGGCAGAGTCATGAGAATAGGCACATATCGCCCGCCTTCCACCTTCCACCCACAATTTTTAGGGTCAGGTAGTTCGGGGAAGGCCACGTGGGAGTTTTTCCACACAAAAACCTAAATAAAATAAATTAATATGAAAATACCTGCGACAGTTAATGTACAAACGCCACTTAAAATATTAATTTTACCTGATAGTGGCACCGAAGGATATGCAAGCGCAGTGCGTCACTGGTAGGCGGCAAGAATTCCAGCACCTTTACAGCTCCAAAAAGAGAAACGCGCGCTGCATTTGACATTGTAATGTCTGGCCCAACCTAAAATAAAAGTGACATAATTGTAAAAAAATAAATATTTTTACAGCAAATAATTTGTGGTGAATAAGGGGACGCAACAAACCTTGTACAAAGCTTGCACCACGAATTGCTCGATATTGTCGAGTACATCGCTGGCCAGGTCAGAGGTAGCTCCAAGTCCAAGATGTACTCGACAATATCGAGCAATTCGTGGTGCAAGCTTTGTACAAGGTTTGTTGCGTCCCCTTATTCACCACAAATTATTTGCTGTAAAAATATTTATTTTTTTACAATTATGTCACTTTTATTTTAGGTTGGGCCAGACATTACAATGTCAAATGCAGCGCGCGTTTCTCTTTTTGGAGCTGTAAAGGTGCTGGAATTCTTGCCGCCTACCAGTGACGCACTGCGCTTGCATATCCTTCGGTGCCACTATCAGGTAAAATTAATATTTTAAGTGGCGTTTGTACATTAACTGTCGCAGGTATTTTCATATTAATTTATTTTATTTAGGTTTTTGTGTGGAAAAACTCCCACGTGGCCTTCCCCGAACTACCTGACCCTAAAAATTGTGGGTGGAAGGTGGAAGGCGGGCGATATGTGCCTATTCTCATGACTCTGCCATCTATCCCAAAGTCATGCCCGGAGTTTAGTGTTTGTGGCTGCAAAGGACTGTGTAACACAAAGCAGTGTGGGTGTAGGAAGGAGCCCTGGGTCCCTTGCACAAAACTGTGTAAGTGCAGAGCAAAGTGCTTGAATGGGGCAGGTGACGATGACGATGAATGACGAGTATTAATGTCAATTGAATTCAGAAAATAAAAGTCCTTTAACACTTGTTTAAAATAATTTTGAGCATTTAAACATGCTCTAAATCCCCTCAGACACAGCACATAATTTTCTACACATTTCGATAAAAAAATGATTTTTTTGGTTAATATTGGTGAAATTTTGTTAAAATATGACTTTTTAATGGTGATTTTCTTAACCAAATTTATTTTTAAGTATTTAATCGTGTTCTACGCCCCAAAAAACCTAGGGATAGACACTTGGATCGCACACATATGACCAAAAGCAAAAAAACACTTAAATTTGGCGCTATTTTGGACGCCATCTTGAATATCTCACTTCCGGTTGAAATTTCGAGTTGGCAAATGGCATATTCGGATTCAACGGGGTCTAAATAGGGGAGAACCGGTGTTAACTCAATTGTTACATGAAATGCTTCTTGCATTGAAACGGAGAGCTTTTCTGAGATTTTAGCCCCGACTAACAAGCGTACAACACTCTACTAACTGCGTTTAGTGCTTCAATACTTCTTTCGTGGGTAACTAACGCCTTTAATGATGACGGATTGGACTTATTTAGTGGTTGATTTGGTGGTTTGAATCCCACCTTACCAATCAAATTAGAGCCAGCAGCCAGGATGATACACGACTTCAAAAAATCAAGCCTGTGTTATCACTACGCCAAGTTTTCATTGCAATTCCCTTAAAAAGATGAAACTCGATACAATTCTCAGACTTTATGACACTGTCTGCTTCCTAAAGTAATTAAGAAACGAAGATCCCGCAGAAAAAACAAATGCGCATAAAAACATACACTTATGTTGCCCTTTCAAGGCCAATTTACAGTTAATTTTATTCGGAATTTTTACTTTCTCTTAAAATATACTAAAATGCTTAATATTTGCAATTTTAACTGACTTCTTATAGCAGTAGGGTCGGCCTCAACTGGAACACACTATATAGAGTGCATGATAATGCTGCAATTTTCAGGAAAATGAGACCCACTAGGTTTCTAATGATTCATTATAAGATATTTAGTTACTTACCTCAAAAAAGGGAAACAGAGATCTGCCAAGATAAATCCATAATTGTACCTCAACAGACTTTTTTCTTATAAATATGCATGCGACCAAAGCGCCGTATGGAAAATAATTTAACGCAGATCTAAATTTCAAATTCAAGAAGAATAAAAAAATTCAATTCGTAAAAATCTCCATTAACGACTCAGCGAGTACATTTTAATGTTTGCGCATTTAAATATGTTCGCATTCCCGCCGCTTAACGTAATCAGGTTATAAAGAACATCCTCCGCATTGGTCCTGTTCGTCTGTAAGCAAAAAACAATACATTTTTCTTTGTTTTCATTACATAAATGGGGGGGACTGTTAAACGATCTCGAGATCTCAAAAGCTTCGTCAAGGTTTATTCTTATACTATAACTTGTGTCAACAACAAACTTAAAAGAAACAGCACTCGAAATAAAGTGTATATAAATAAAGGGCGCTGATGTGTTTTGGGTGGCAGCTAAGATCGCCACTTGAAACGAAATGTAGTAGAGTTTTCCAACAAAGCACGTAGAAAACGCACATTTCTCCCTTAGATTATGCATTCGGCAAGAATTTCCACTCATCAACATTCACGTTGACGAACTGCCGTGTGGGGTTTAACAGGCGAGATAAAAGTGAGATACGTTTTCAACGGCAAGGCACGTTTGAGAGTTAAGTTGAATGGAATATTGTTTGTGTGGCGTTTACTACAAGTGTTCTTGTCAATGTGTTAGAAGAACTTTAAGTATAAATCTCTCCTTTTCCTATTCATTGTATTGTATTTGACACGAAATAATCAAGTGGTCTCTGGATTTTAAGCGACGGGTTGCAAAACTCAAAACCAACAATCAAAACTCCCGCCAAAGTAAGTGAAACCATAAGCAGATGACCGTCAAGTGAAAGGAGTGAAACGAGTGACTCGAGGAAATAAAACGCAAGAAATGGGGAGGGTTAAAATTAATTAAAACGTTAATAGAGCAAAACAATGACATCCAAATTGAATTCAGGGTTACTCTCTCTCTTAATCAAACGAGAATAGCTATTGAAAACCTTCTAGGATATGTATTCACTTAGTTTCTCTCTTCTTTTCCAATTGACAATGTTACATTATAATAGTGTTCAACCCATACGATCGGGGAATTTTATCTCTCTCATGATCTTGACTTTACACCGATATTTAAAATATTGCCCCACGGAAATCAATGTATTTACTAAGACTCTTGTGTAACCAAACCCGACATTCACAGCAAGGACCCACGGTACGAAGAATGCACATGCATGTCATTTTTGTTTATGGTTACGAACTCAAGTGCCTACATTAAGACATGACCTGTCCAACCGTAATAACAACAAAGGTGTATGTTTAGAGTTTAAGTTCGTAGTTTAAGTTCAGACACCCGCCTTTGGCTTATACACAATCTGTTTCATTATACAGGGTGCTTCGCGCAAACCATTACCTAAAGGTATTCAGGCTCTCATTGATAATTTAATAGGGGTTTACAGTATAGTTTAATTCCGTAGTTCTAATTTAATAAGCGTATACCTGAAACCATAAAACAATTTTTTGCACAGTAAAAGTTTATTTAAAAATAGTGGTTGATTAGAAAAAGAAATAATGAACATGTGTGGTATTAGGGGTTTATTTAAAACGAGATTATTGTCGCGGGCTCTGTGACGTTACAAGCCCGACCAATCAGCTGCTAGAACCATTCAGATGACATACGACTTGGCAATATTGCAGGAGAATGTCATTTGTAACTTGCCTCTTACACAGCCGTCTATAATTACAAGCCATGCTGAGAAGTTTGGCAACGTTGTTCGAAAGTCAATCGGTGGGCCGATTCGTAGCCTACCGATAGATCTAGCCGTGACATTGATTTAGTGACGTCACAACTGGAGATGGGCCACTGCAACGCGATACTATGTGTTTAAATGCAATTTGATTCGCGCGCGTACTCATTTAACGCGAAAACATTTAGTAATTACTTATTTTGAGCCGCAGGATTGTTATATGTTGTTTCCTAATTATAGACACGTGTTATTATGCAAAAATTTTATTAAATACGTACATAAACAACAAATACTCACTGAAAACCGAGCTGAAAACAAATAAAATTTAAACATTCTAATACACACATCTGCCTTTTTTAGCGTAACACAACGAAGTTGAGGTAACGCTTATGTGCTCGTCATTCCGTCGTCTGCCTATCTGTCTGTTCCATCGAGATCTCGGCCCCTGGACCACCTAGAGACTACAGATTTTCGGTCATTTGTAGTTGCAAAGGTCTATATTTTCCCGTAACTCATCATTTACATCCTTTTCATATATGATGGCTGATTTTCAAAAATGGTGGGATACGTGTCTTCGGTAAGTTTAATCTGGTCTCGTGGAACTGTTAATACTGTATCGTCTTATCTTGTCATCTTGTCTACCCGAATAATGAAAATGTCGGAGAAATGCTTTATACAAACCCTGGGGTAATTAGTAATTTCAAAATTGTCCCGGTGAATACATCTTAACCACTTTTTTGATCGTCTTCATTTTTCGGAAAACAAAAAACCGTAAGGAACCTTGTCTCTTGAACTATAATTGCTTTTGCAACCAGGTACGCAGCGTGTATTTGGCATTTTCTTACTGATTCTGTTCGAATACAGTTAATTTAAGTGTACAACATTAAACTACTTGGAATTAATTACATTAAAAGTCGATATGACGGCCGCCGTCAGTTGTGACGTCAGCGCAATAGTGGGGATGAGTGTCACGGCTAGTTCTATCGGTAGGCTACGGCCGATTTCAGTTTTAATGGCGTCTTGTTGCTCCTGAAAAATGGCATTTTCCTCTCTCCTGTGTTTCGCCTTGGCGGTTTTAATATAGAAGAAAGATACTTAGGCAGCTTAAAATTGTGCATATATATTATTTATTTACAAAAATGGATAATAACATTTTTATTTGACTTTAAAATTCGGAACGCTGTAAACTGGTAACTGCATCATAATGTGTTTTCCATTGAGATCTCCGAAATTGGTGAACTTCTGTCGAAAGATGTCGAAGTGAAGCTCACGCTTGAGCACTTAATTTCGCCAAAAGGACAGTAAATCGCTGTGAATCAGCGAGGTTTTATCAACGACCAGATGTGATTCGGAATGGCAGACTTTAAGCCAGTCCCTACTGCAGTGAGTCTAGGTACGCAGCTTTTAAAGAGGGGAGCCCCATAGACTTCAAATTCCCGTACCGTGAACTCCTGGGAATAAGTTGAAAGGTTCCTTCAGAAAATCGATTTGACATGCCGTGCTAGAAAACCTGAAATACAAACTAATTGTATTTTTTCACGATAAACACTTACC